TCTCCTTATCTAAGCCGTCTTTTTAGGTTTTCAACTTAGATAAACCTCCTATGACTCAAACCGCTCTTTTAGGGTTTTCACCTTGAGTCCTCCTTTTTCATTCTTTTTTTTCTTTTTTTCATTTTCTTTTTTCATTTTTTTCATTTTCATTTTCAAGCATAGTATTTCTTCACAGCATCAGAATTTATAAGATGGGGTAAATCATTTTCATCCATCTCAGTCAATATTAACGTTTCACCCGAGAAAGCTCGTTTCACCACATATGGCCCTTTCCAATTCGGAGTCCATTTTCCTCTACTATCGTGCTGGATTGAGAGGATTCTCTTCAAGACCAACTCTTCTTCTCGAAAGTGACGGGATTAAATCTTTTTATCATGAGCCTTCATCATTCTTCTTTGATATAGCTGATCATGGCATAGTGCAGTCAATCTCTTTTCCTCTATGAAATTTAATTGTTCATAGCGTCCTTGAATCCATTCAACTTCTTCCAAGTCAATTTCTTTTAGAACCCTCAAGGATGGGATCTCTACTTCCACTGGTAGTACAACTTTCATCTCATAAACTAAAAAAAATGGGGTTGCTCCAGTAGAGGTATGAACTGATGTTCGATATGCATGTAGTGCAAATAGCAACTTCTCATGCCAATCTTTATAAGTTTCAGTCATCTTTTCCAGAATCTTTTTTATGTTCTTATTGGCTACCTTAACTGCTCCATTCATTTTCGGACGATATGGTGCTGAATTATGATGCTTAATCTTATATTGAGCACATATTTCTTGCATCATCTTACTATTTAGATTCTTGGCATTGTCTGAAATAATTCTCTCTGAAAGTCCATATCTATAGATGATCTCTCTTTTTATGAACTTGCAAACCACAGATCGTGTCACACTTGCATATAACGCTGCCTCTACCCATTTTGTGAAGTAATCTATCATCATAAAAATGAATCTGTGCCCGTTAGAAGCCTTTGGGGTGATTGAACCAATGACATTCATGCCCCACATTGAGAATGGCCATGGTGGTGCCATAACATGTAAAGCAGATGGCGAAGCATGAATCTTATCAGCATATATCTGGTATTTATGGCATTTATGAGCATAGTCAATGCAATCATTCTCCATCATCAACTAGTAATATCCTGCTCTCATGATCTATCTCACAATCATATGTCCACTGGTATGTGCCCCATATATTTCATCATGCACCTCTTCAATGATTTTTCTCGCTTCAGTCTTACTTACGCACCTCAATAATACTTGATCTCAACTTTTTTTGTACCAAACATCCTCATCTAGGAAAAAGCTCATAGCCAATCTTCGGATGACCTTTTTATCATTTTTTGTTACTTGAACTGGGTACTGTTGATCCTTAATATACTATAGGATGTCGTAATACCAGGGCTTTCCATCTTCTTCTTTTTCTACATTAGAGCAATAAGCTGGTATATCCTTAACATCTAACTTGATGGGTTGAATGTCAGTATTGTTATTAATTCGAATCATTGTAGCCAAAGTAGCCAATGCATCAACGATCAAATTCTCTTCTTGAGGTAAGTGGTCAAACTGGATATCTTCAAATTATTTCATCAACTTTAGAATATACTTATGATATGGAACGAGTTTTGAATCTCTCGTCTCCCATTCCCCTTTCAATTGATATATAACTAGAGCTGAGTCTCTGAACACTTTTAATGCTTTCACTTTTCTATCTATAGCAGCTTGTAAACCCATGACACATGCCTTATATTCAGCAATGTTATTTATGCAGTTAAAATTTAACTTTGCTGTTACAAGATAGTATTATTCTTCTGGAGAGATCAGAATTACCTCAATTCCATGTCCCAAGGCATTGACAGCTCCATCAAAGTACATTTTTCAACATTTTTCTTCATGCTCCCTTTTCTCCAGTTGAAAAATAGTCATTAGGTCTTTATCAAAAAATTCAAACTTCATTGGCTCATATTCTTCGATAGCATGATCTGTAAGAAATTTTGCTATAACACCCCTTTTTATTGCTTTTTGGCTCACATATATAATATCATATTTCGAGAGCATTACTTGCCATCTAGCAATTCTTTTAGACAAAGAAGGCTTCTCGAAGATATATTTAATTGGATCTAATTTTGCTATGAGCCATGTGGTATGATAGAGCATATACTGTCTGAGTCTTTTGGCAGTCTACGCTAATGCACAACACATTTTTTCTAATGAGAAATACTTAGATTCATATTCTGTGAACTTTTTACTCAGTTAGTAAATAGCTCTCTCTTTTCGGCTAGACTCGTCTTGCTGCCCCAGCACACATCCTATTGAATTTTCATATGCAGTTAAGTATAAAATTAAAGGTTTTCCTGGTACAGGTGGCACCAACACTGGAGGGTTCGACAAGTATTACTTAATTTTATCAAACACCTCTTGACATTTCTCATTCCATTTTCCAGGATTATCTTCATGGAGAAGCTTAAATATGGGATCACATTTGTAAGTAAGCTGAGAGATAAATCGAGAAATGTAGTTCAATCTCCCTAAAAAACCTCGAACTTCTTTTGATGTGTTAGGAGGTGACAAATTTTGAATGGCCAGTATCTTATCTGGATCAACTTCAATTCCTCTTTTACTGACCATAAAGCCCAGTAACTTCCTGACTTTACCCCAAAGGTGCACTTAGCTGGGTTTAATTTGAGTTGGAATCTTCTTAACCTCTCAAATAGCTTTCTGAGGCTGGTGACATGATTTTCATCTTCACAAGACTTTGCAATCATATCGTCTACATACACCTCGATCTCTTTGTGCATCATGTTATGAAAGAGTGTTACCATTGTCCTTCGATATGTTGCTCCAGCATTCTTTAACCCAAAAGGCATGACCTTGTAACAAAAGGTTCCCCACATAGTCACGAAAGTGATCTTTTTTATCTAATTATACCCTGAGAAACCATCCATAAAAGAGAAAATTGAATGCCTAGTCGTATTATCTACCAGTGTGTTGATATGAGGCAAAAAAAAGTTATCTTTTGGACTAGCCTTATTTAAGTCCCGATAGTCTACACATATTTGTACGTTTCCATCTTTCTTAGAAACGGGTACTATATTGGCTACCCACTCTGGGTACTTGGCCATTTGTAGAAAACCTGTATCAAATTATTTCTTCACCTCTTCCTTGATCTTTAGTAGCATTTCAGGCTTCATTCGTCTCAGTTTTTGCTGAACTGGCTTACATTCTAGCCTAAAAGGCAATCTATGCTCCACTATCTTCGTGCTTAGCCCTGGCATATCTTAGTAAGACCAAGCAAATACATCTACGAATTCTGAAGTAGGTCTGCCAATCGTTGTCTATCTCCTGATGAAAGTGAAGTGCCAATTCTGACATTTTTCTTATTCTCTTCATCTCCCGGATTCATTAAGTCAATTATCTCCTGATGAGGCTCAATTGGCTTATTTTCTTGTTCAATCAATCTTATTAGGTCCGAAGGCATAACATATTCCTTAGAATTCTCTTCATTGTCAAGTTCATCAGTGTTAATTGAATTCTCAAAACTAACCTCTTGATTGTTATCATGATTATCTTCATGTTCATTTAAAGACCTGAAATTGAATGAAATGGGATATGTTGGCAAGATGTGCTTGGAAAGATGAAAATAATGAAGACACAAGAAGAAATGAATGAAAATGCATCTTTCCTATTTTTTATTAAAAATAATAAATGATAAATGGCCCAAACAAAAAAGATCACCCCAATGCCTTGGGTAATAGCTATTGGGATGTTACAATTACATTGTATTAGTCTCAAAAGTCACAGGCATCTCGATGGCACTCCAATTATTCAGCTCATAATCTAGCAGACAAAGGTGAACCCACTTCTCTTGATTAAACCCTACTTCATCTTTAACAGCATTAATGGTTAACTGGGCAAAAACATTTTCCACACTTTTTCTTGTATCTAGGTACATGAATCTTCCAGGTCTGAAAGTCTCATACAGATGTGGGATAACCATTAGTCTTGCTGTCTTTCCTGCTAGCCTTCTTTTGACCTCCCATTCTGTCATCTTATAGCCTAGGCCTAACCTGTCGCTATTGTCTATTACCGTCGGGGTTCCTTTATTCCCTGTAAGTTCTTCTAGCCCTAATCCAGGATACCAGCCCTTATTGATGACTTAGCTCATCACTATCTTTGAAAAAGGTTGATTTTTAAATCTTTCACCCATAAAATTAACCAATTCAAAAGATCGATAAGAGCATTCCAATGCTTCTTCGACAGCCTCTACATATGGAGTATTCAATAGTTGGGTCACTAGCATGTCTTCTTCCCCAACTACCACTACTAGTTGACCTTCTACATTAAACTTGATCTTTTGATGCAAGGTAGAGGGCACAGCTCTTGTCATGTGAATCCATGGCCTTCCCAATAGACAGCTGTAGGATAGAGAGATATTCATTACTTGAAACTTCACATTAAAAGTACATGGCCTGATTTGTAAAAGCATCTCGATATCCCCCAGGACTTCTCTTTTGGTCCTATCAAAAGCTCTCACAATCATCTGACTGTTCTTCATATGAGAGTAGTCGATAGGTAGCCTCACCAAAGTTGACATAGGCATGATATTGATAGCAAAGCCATTATCAATAAGAACCTTGGCTATGATATGGCTCTTGCACTTGATCGTGATATATAGAGCCTTAGCATTTTTTTTTCTTTCAAGGGAATCTCATCATTGCTGAATGAAATGTGATTCGACATGACTAGATTTTCAGCCAAGTGATTCACATATTCAACAGATATATTATATGCCACGTATGCCTGATTCAACATTTTCAGCAGGTATTTTTAGTGTGGCTCTGAGTTTAATAACAATGATAGTAATGAGATTCGAGCTGACATTTTATTCAACTGTTAAACAATTGAATACTCACTATGTTTTACTAGCTTTAGGAATTCACAAATCTCTCTTTCTGATACCGATTTCGGACGATCTTCTTCAGGTTTTACTTCAAGATTATTTTATCCTTCTTCTTCTTTGGCCTTCTCTCTTCTAGCTTTCTCTAACATTTCTGGAGTGTAGCACCTCTCACTTCGGGTAATGCCTCCTACACCAGTTATATTGGAAGTGTCAGCTTTGGAGACATCCTCTTCTTGCCCATAAACTATAGTATCATAGTCATATCTCCAGGGTATAGCTTTATCATCCTTGTATGGGAAAGGAGTCGAAACTTTAAAAGTTATCAACGTGAGAATGAGTTTGTCTATGATAGACTTTGGCTTGTTCCCATAATGAATTGTCACTGGCTTTGGAAACAGCTTTGTAGGCTTATTAGTCATAGACACCTCAACACTTCTTAAGTTTTTTCTTCTTTCATAAACCTTCATTTGATATGAATCTAAGAGTTTTTGCACCTAAACTACCTACAGGTTTCAATGGAATGGCCTATTGCCCCATTATGATACTTATAACTAATACCAGCTATATATGCTCTATGATAGCTATGTGGTCTTACTAGTTGTATCATGTCAACTCTCCATAGAATATCGAACAGTTGGCTGAGAGGTGTCTTAATATCTGCCATTTTTTTCTTCACATGGTGCTCATGTTCTTCACTTATAGCATTCACACTATGATTCGACAAGAGATTGCCACTAACATTCAGTGCAGTCACCCCTTCGATATCAAAGCAAATCATTCCATCTTTGATCAACCATTGCACTTTATGTTTCAGAGTGGTGCAATTTTCGGTGGAGTGACCAACGATCCCATAATGGTAGTCATAGTGGGCTGTGAGATCGTACCACTTAGGGTAAAGTGGCTTGAGGGGTTCCAATTTACTAGGAGCAATCAAATGACTGTTGTAAAGCTCCTTATATAATTCTATATAAGTAATTGGAATTGGGTCAAACACAGGTTCTCACGGGTAGTTTGTTGCTCTTGTGAACGACCAATGGGGTTAGTTGAGTGATTTTAGGGTCTTGGGGTAGGCTGAGTATTAGAACTGTATATAGTATTTTGAGGCCTAGAAGGGGTTTGATATGTTTAGGGGTAAGGTGACTGTACAAATGGTTGGTATGGGCAAGGGGAAGTGTTATTTATAGTAGGATAATATGGTAGGTATCCTGGAGGTGAGTAGGGTAGATAACCCCCGAATTGGTATCTATCAAAGCTCACAGCCTGAGCTTCAGTCTCTTTCTTCTTCGAGACTCTCTTGCCAGATGCTTCATTTCCTTTCAGCTTGTCATTCTTGATATCACTCTCAATAATTTCTTCTGAAATTACCATATCAGTAAAGTTTTTTGTTGCATTCCCTATCATTTTTTCATAATAAAGGGGTTTCAAAGTGCTAACAAATAACACTGTGGTTTCTTTTTCAGTCAGTAGAGGTTGTACCTAAGAAGCTATATCCCTCCATCTCTGGGTATACTTTTTAAAAGACTCATTTGCCTTTTTCTCCAGGTTCTGTAAAGACAAATGATCAGGGGCCAAATCGATAATATGTTGATATTAATTGATGAAGTCATGAGCCATATCACTCCAAGAGCAAATGCGGGTTCTGTCTTTTTGAACATACCACTTAGCCGCTCAGCCTGTAAGGCTATCTTGAAAGACATACATCAAGAGTTTTTCATCATGAGCATGAGCTGCCATTTTCTGACAATACATGGTGATGTGGGTTTTGGGGCACTTCATACCATCATATTTTTCAAATTTTGGTACTTTGAACTTATGAAGAATGACCATATCAGGGACTAAGCAGAGCCCAGGAGCATCAACTGAACCATAGAAACCAAATCCTTCCATAGCCCGTAGCCTTTGTTCTAGCATACTAATCTTTGAGCTTTCCTGAGTTTCCACTCTTATCTTTTTTTTCTCCTTCTCTTTTAAATCATCTAGATCAGAAAATGGTTCTACTACCTTTTCAGTAAAGACAGAATTTACGTAGCTATTATAATGCCCTGGGTTGGAAGCCGACGGTATTCTAGGATATGTTGGATATGTGAAGCGTTACGGTGGAACCTCTTGAACAGACTGGACTTTAGGTAGGCCAAAACCTAGAGGATACAAAGGGTCAGCCACTTTTTGCAATGGGGGAATTTGTTGGCTTGTATTTTCTTCAACTCATTTTCCTTTATTCAGCTTATTGAGAGCATCCAGAATCTTGCTTAACTCATTTTCAATCTTCTCCTATGCTTTTTCTATCTTTTCAAATTTGTGAGAATTTTCTTGCTCCATTTGTCTGGCTCTAGATCTTGTGTTGTATCGATGGGCAGGGTTCTCGCTAGATGGAGCTATCCTTGAACCTTGAGTACCATGTCTTAGAATTAGTAAATTTGTATGACTATCATATGGTTAGTTTATTAAGTGTAATGCATGAAAATGCAATGAATGAAAAATGCATGTATGCAAAGAACATTTGTCTTAAAAACGGTATTCAACTAAAAGATTTCATTTATTCCAAAAAACTTTTATCTACATTGAGTTTATCATCCTAGAATTATAACCATAAAATTATTTGATCTGTTCATACTGGGCCTTGGCTTCCTCAATTAAGTTCAACAGTCGCTGTCCATGTTCTTCTACTGGTGTCACCACTTGTTTCAATGCCTCTGCCTCTTTCACCATCTCTCTTGCCTTGCATACCCCTTTACAGATTTGGGTCATTAGGTGCTCGATGTATTTCTGTCTTCCTAAGTTTTCCTTTTTACTACACCAGACTTGGTATGATAATTTTCTATGCTCCCTAACCAATGCAGCAATGTGGTCTTCTTGTTCATTCAACTTTTGCCTTAGCCTACTCAGATAACTATTTAGCATGTTACTCTCTATTTGTACTTGGGTACTTTTTTCTTCCAATTCAGCATACTTTTACTTCAATCTTGCATTTTCTTCAGTTAGCTCGACAATGGTTATCTCTTTGGCCCTTTCTCTCACACATAACCTTTTATGCTCTTGGTGTAGCTTTGCTAGGTCTTAAATAGTTGTATCATGTTCTCTAGTAATCTTGTGAACTTTAACTTCATGACTTTCAGCTCTATCTTTCTACTGGGCTTTTTCTTCTTGAAGCTTCTGGATTTCTTGCTTTAACTTACCCTTTTCAGACTCAAATTCTTTTGTTGCGAGCTCTAATTCTGATGGTGTCTCTTCAAGTTTTTCTTCTGTTGGTGATTGAAAGCTTTTATAAGTGAATACCATTTCTTGTCTTCGTTTCGCTCTCCAAACTAAGTACCCTGGAGTGATTTTATCAGTAAATGGTCCAGGACTCACTCTTTGGGGATTTTTCCATGCTTTAATCATCTCAATCATCCTTTAAAATGCTTTAGGCTCACTATAAGAGAAATCTAATTGATGAAGCCCATAAGTCATAAGAATGAACTGTTCTCCTCCAAATTACCTTCTCACTAGGAGTGGTGAATAATTTGTCACTCCTCATAAACCCAAAAGTGGGACCACTGTATTATCCCCACATTGATACAACATAGGCTCACGATTTATTCATAGGGCCAACCAACTCACTTTGGCGCTGGTCAACTTTTGTAGGAAAGTTATCCATTCCTTTTTAGACTTTCGTTCTGACCACCCACTTTTACAAAATTCCTTGATTGGAGCTCAATTACAGATATAAAGCTTTGAGAAAGCACCATTTCCCCATTCAAAATGGTTTTTCATCCATAAGTACAATAACTATATGTAACATATAAAGCGCCATCCATTTCGATGACAGTAGCTCAAAGATCTGACAGTCTATGCTAATATTACCGTTAAAGGATTACAGCCATTGATCACACTCTCGATGAAGTCAACCACCGTTATCTCAATATAACCCAAAACCTTTGGGAAGATCACCATTTCGTATATGGCCAAGGCAAATATATCTAACCCCCGTTCTTCATTGACATGTTGCACTAGGAACTCATGAAAGAACTTCTAAGGTAGGCAAACTTGTTCTTGTTTCTTCTTTGTATGAGAATCCATAATTTCCTTGTCTATCCCCATGAGTTGAGCCAAACCCTTACGAAATCCTAACTTGTGTTTTTTGACATATATCTTATCAGGAGCCTTGAGGTGCAAACCCAACAAAATCGAATATTCTTTCATGGTGAGAGTCATATCAGCTTCATTAAAGATGAAACACTTGTATGTAAGATCCCATAATTATGCTGCAACTCTGATTAGTTGATCATCAACAACTACTGCTAGAAGGTGTGCTATATGACCGTGTCTCTAGCCAAACTGCTCTTATCTTGACAGACTCATCCTCTTCCAAATATCAACCAAATCCTCTAGATTATTCTGTTTAAGGAGGATAGATGATTTTTGAAACAGCGTAGAATCATATCCAATTGGTAAACAATCTCCCATCTTCAGTTGAATCTTTTTTTATTGGATTCTTACTTCATTGGGTGTCTCACAAGATGCTAATACGGATGAAGAGCAAACTAGTCGTTCATTGGAGTCCATGAAAAAAATTTGTTGAAGACCGTCTTTTAAGCAAATGTTCTTTATGCAACTATATGATATGAGCATGAACCAATGCAAAAAAATGAGATAAAAGGTTAGTATGCCCAGAAAAAAGAAATAAACAAATAACTAAGTAAATTTAATTATCACACAGAATAGGAGGAATGAATCCTATGCTTTTGGTCAATTCTAAAGGGGAAGAGTGATGGCTCTATCTATAGCTTAGGCACTCGTAAGGTTCACTATGTGGTTTAAGATTAGAGTCTAAAGGTTCCCAAATTGCTTCTTACATCTTTGTCCATCACAGACTAGTAGGGCACCCTAATTCTCACCCATTACAGGCTACAAGCGAAAATGATTCAATTTGAGTGGGAGTATTTCGCTAGCCACTACGGAGGCATTAGACCTCACGAAAACAATAGGTACTTTACTCCTTCCTAAAGGGACAGAGCTCGGGTATAAAGCTCATGTTATGCACATACATATGAATGACATAATTAATAAACTAAATAAACATGAATGAATAATAACACATATACAAAAAGGTTCAATTTTATTAGGCTTTTGGATAACATAAATTTATTTGCTGGCTTGACTCTCAGGGTCCCTAATAGAGTCGCCAAGCTGTCATAACGTCTAGATCTAGGGATCTATTGCTAGTATTGACTTAAGGAGTCACCACCAATCTTTTTTTATCTAGGTGTGATTGGCCACCTAAAGAATCTATCCTTTCAGGGCACACCTAAGTTTAAGGGTCTCTAAAAGAATAGGTTCAGGTCTACTAACCAAAACAGGGTTCGAGAGTTCGGTTACGTGTGAGGAAGGTTGTAGCACCCTCACAACACCCATCAAAAGATAGTACCAACTTAATTTCGTGTTATCCAATGAGCCTTAAAATTTTACCAAGTAATTAACTATTGAAAATTATTCTCAATTGACTCTAATACTTTTAGCAAAAAATTGAGAAAATCCCTTCACCTCAAGAGTATGCAAGAAAACTACTGTTTCACTTGTAGAGGCTCCATCGTTGGATTAATTAACATTAAAAAAAATTCAAAGGAAATAAAAAAAGAAAAAAAGAAAAATGATTGCTTTTGTACAAGGGAAAATTGATACTTTCAACTTTTCCCCAAAAATATTTTTTTTGAAATTTTAATTTCAAGGAAAATTGATACTTTCAACTTTTCCCCAAAAATATATATATTTTTGGAAACTTTAATTTCGAAGAAAATTGATACTTTCAACTTTTCCACAAAAATATTTTTTGAATTCTATTTAAAGAAAATAAAATAATAAAATGAAAATACGAATAAAGAAAATAAAATAAATAAAAATAAATTAAAATAAAAAAACTAAGCAAACCTAATAATAATAATATAATAATAATAATAAAAATAAAATGAAAAAAAAACTGGAATGGCTTGGCTCGGCTTAAAGAAGAAAAACGGCTCGGAGACGCGGTTCGGAGTGTCTGCTAGGCTCGGCTAACGGCTCAGAGAGGTGAGTCACGCGCGGGTTGAAAGCGGGTCGATGCTCAGGTCGGATCTTGGCAAAACGCGCGGATCCTCTAGGTTACTTAACGCAGAAACGGTATCATTTTGGGAAGGTATATAAGGCTGATTCCTTCATTTTTTTAGTAGACCGAGCCTTCCCTCTCTCTCTCTTCCTTCTTTTTCTCTCCTTTCTCTCTAAAATTCCTGAAGAACTCCGGTTGAATATTCATCGAATTCTGAAAATTTCATCGAAATCTGGGTTTTTCGTCAGAAGTTTACCGAAAAAGTTGGTCGATTTCTGGAAATTCTTATCGGAA